AGTACAGTGGTCTAAAGCACCCTGTTATTAACACCAACTGCCTGCAATTACTGTAAATTCGAATCTCGCCAAGGCTCAAGGTTGACTCAGCCTTCCATCCTTTCTAAGGTAGGTAAATTGAGGACCCAGTTGTGGGGGCAATAAGCTGACTTTGTATAAATATACAAAAGGATGAAGGCTATTGCTTAGCGCATTGTAAGCCGCCCTGAGTTTCCAGAGAAGGGCGGCATATAAATCAAATTAAAAAAAAAAAATTACTGGCCAGCAATTTAACAAACAGTTCAGCCGAACCGCCTAGAACCGGCAGAATCCCACCACTGGACTTGTGTGATGCACAGCCATTTAACTTGGTGCACATCTTTACTTTGGGAATTTGGGAACAATGGAACAGAATAACAGAGTTTATAGGGAACTTAGAGGTCTTCTAGTCCAACCCCCTGCTTAGACAGAAAGCCCTATAAAATTTCAGATAAATGGCTGTCCAATTTCTTCATAAACACCTCCAGTGTTGGAGCACCACAATTTCTACTCTGGTTTCTCTTCAGATCGTATAAATCTTTCGCCTTTTACACAATTTCTAGAAACAAGTCATTCCACTGATTAATTGTTCTCAATGTCAGGAAATTTCTCTTTACTTGTAGGTTGGTTCTCTCCTTGAATCGTTTCCGTCCACTGCTTCTTGGAACACTGCTATCATGTCACCCCATCTAGTCCTTCTTTTCATCAAACCAGACTCACCCAATTCCCTTATATGTTTTAGCCTCCAGTCCACTAATAATTTTTGTTGCTCTTCTCTGCACTCTTTCTAGAGTCTCAAGATCTTTTTTACATCTGGCAACCAAAACTGGATGCAATATTCCAAGTGTGGTCTTCCCAAGGCCTTTTAAAGTGGTACTAACACTTCATGTCATCTTGATTCCGTCCCTCTTAATGCAGCCTATGATTCTGTTGGTTTTTTTTCTTTCTTTTTGGCAACTGTAGCCTACTGCTGACTCCTGTTTAAGTGGATGTCCACTAGGACTCCAAGACCCCTGTTGCCCTTGCTACTCTTCAGCCAGGTATCACCTCTTCTGTGCCAGTCCATTTGGTTTTTCTTTCCTAAATGTAGAACCTTACATTTCTCACTGTTGATCAATCTGTTGATCCTTCTGTATCTTGAGTGTTGCTATTCCTGTCAATTTATTTATTTATTTATTTATTTTATCAAATTTCTATACCGCCCTTCTCCTTTCGGACGGTGAACAGCCAAGTAAAACACTTTATATAAAAAAGTTAAAATAGATTTAAAATAATTAAATAATTTGGCCCATAATTTAGAACATTACAATTTAAAACCAATTTCAAATTTTAAAAACCCATCATAAAATCAGGACAGCCTGGCTAACTGAAAGAGATAGGTTTTAAGGGCCCGACGAAAAGTCCGGAGGTCTGGGATCACTCGTATTTCTGGGGGTAGATTGTTCCAGAGGGTAGGTGCCACCACAGAGAAGACCTGGGGGTCGCCAGCCAACATTGTCTGGCCGACGGCACCCTGAGGAGGCCCTCTCTGTGGGAGCGAACTGGCTGGTGGGAGGCAATTGGTGGCAGAAGACGGTCCCGTAACTACCCCGGCCCTAAGCCATGGAGCGCTTTAAAGGTTATCACCAACACTTTGAAGCGCACCCGGAAGTCCACCGGAAGCCAATGCAGCTCGTGCAGGAAAGGAGTCACATGGGAGCGCCCCGTCACTCCCATAATCCCCCGCGCGGCCGCATTCTGCACCAGTTGGAGCCTCCGGGTGCACCCCAAGGGGAACCCTATATAGAGAGTGTTACAATAGTCCAGACGAGAAGTGATGAGTGCTTGAGTGACTGTGCGTAGGGAGTTCCGATCCAGAAAAGGGCGCAACTGGCATATCAGGTGAACCTGATAGAAAGCCCCCCTGGCCACGGCTGTAGTATGCTCTTCTAAAGACAGCCGTGCATCCAGGAGGACGCCCAAGTTGCGAGCCCGTTCCGTGGGGGCCAATGATTCGCCCCCAATAACCAGCGATGGCGCCAGCTGGCTATACCGGGACGCCGGCAGCCACAGCCACTCGGTCTTGGAAGGGTTGAGTCGAAGCCTGTTTCTCCCCATCCAGACCCTCACGGCCTCCAGGCACTGGGACATCACTTCCAAGGATCGTTGGGATGGTCTGGGGTGGAGATGTACAGCTGAGTATCATCAGCGTACTGATGGAACTCCACCCCAAAACCACGGATGATCTCACCCAGCGGCTTCACATAAATGTTGAACAGAAGGGGCGAGAGGACCGACCCTTGTGGCACCCCACAAACAAGGCGCCTCGAGGTCGACCGCTGGCCCCCTGTCAACACAGATTGTGACCAGTTGGAGAGATAGGAGGAGAACCACCGCAAAATGGTGCCCCCCACTCCCAATCCCTCCAGCCGGCGCAACATGATACCATGGTTGATGGTATCAAAAGCCGCTGAGAGATCTAACAGGACCAGGATAGAGGAATAACCCCTACCCCGAGCCCTCCAGAGATCATCCACCAACGTGACCAATGCCGTTTCCGTGCTGTACCCAGGTCTGAAACTGGACTGGAGCGGATCAAAATAGACAGCTTCATCCAGGTACTGGGGAAGCTGTCACGCCACCACACTCTCAACAACCTTCGCAATAAAGCGAAGGTTGGAAACTGGACGATAGTTAGCCAAAACAGCCGGGTCCAGGGAGGGCTTCTTGAGGAGGGGCCTCACAACCGCTTCTTTTAAGGCAGCCGGCAAGACACCCTCACTCAAAGAAGTGTTAATAATCCCCTGGAGCCAGCCTCGTGTAACCTCCCGGGAAGCCAGCACCAACCAGGAGGGACACGGGTCCAATAAACATGTGGTCGCGTTCAGCCATCCCAAGATCCTGTCCACGACCTTGGGAGCCACAGGATCGAACTCCTCCCAGATAACACTCTCAAGCCCTGCCTCAGTCATCTTGTCTGAGCTAACCCAGTCAGCGGCCAAGTCTTCCCGAATCTGAGTTATTTTATCATCCAGATACTGTACAAAATCCTCAGCTCGGCCCTGCAAGGGGTCATCCCGCGCTCCCAGATGGAGAAGGGAGCGGATCACCCTAAACAGGGCGGCTGGGCGGTTATCTGATGATGCGATAAGAGCGGCAAAATAGCTAGATTTCGCCGCTTTTATCGCCACTAGGTAGGTCTTGATATGAGACCTTACCGATGTCAAGTCAGATTCGGATCGGCTGACCCTCCAACCGCTCTCTAGGCGTCTTTTCCGGCGCTTCATCTCCCTCAGCTCCTCGGAGAATCAAGGAGCTAAGTGAGTTCGGCGCTGGGTCAGAGGCCGCAAAGGCACGACTCGATCCAAAGCCCCGGCAGCCACATTATCCCAGGTGGCCACCAGGTCTTCAGCCGAGTCATGAGCTAGAGTCTCAGGAAATGGCCCAAGCTCCATCTGGAACCTATCAGGATCCATCAGGCGCCTGGGGCGAAACTACCTGGTCGGCTCCGCCTCCCTGCGACGGGGTGTGGCGGTCAGAAAGTCAAGTCGAAGGAGCGAGTGGTCCGACTATGACAAGGGTTCAATGCCTATATCCGCTGTATCAAGGCCACTGAACCACTGACCAGAGATAAAAACTAAGTCCAGAGTGTGTCCACCTATGTGAGCAGGGCCATGAATTACTTGGGTCAGGTCCATGGCCGTCATGGAAGCCATGAACTCCCGAGCTACCTCTGACGTTTCACCGATAGATGGCAGGTTGAAATCCCCCATGACCACAAGTCTAGGGGTATCAGCCGCCACCTCGGCTATGACGTTGAGGAGTTTGGGCAGGGTCGTTGCCACGTGGCAGGGAGCCAGGTACGTGATCAACAGACCCATCTGGACCCCACGACCCCACTTCACAAAAAGGGACTCACATCCGGCTATCTGAGGTACAGTGGTCTCCCTCGGATCAAGACTTTCCTTTATAATAACCGCCACCCCCCTGCCCCTGCCCTGAGCTCTCGGCTGATGGAATGCTTGGAAGCCTGGTGGGCACATATCCACGAGGGGAACCCCCCCCTCATGGCCCAACCAGGTCTCCGTAATACCTGCCAGGTCCGCTCCCCCCTCCTGAATAAGGTCACAAATGAGGGGGGCCTTATTTACTACGGACCTGGCATTACACAACAACAGCCAGAGATTCGGGCCCTGAGACTCTGAGCAGCCTGGGAAACGGGAAGAGCTAAGGGGACCGGGGCATGCAATCGCTCAAACGTAGCGAGTGCATGCCCCCACCACACGATATGGCCCCCTGCTCCCGCCATACCTGCCCCTCCCACTCAGCGTATTAATAGAAAAGCCCTCAGCAGAGGGCATTTTAACAGCCCTCTTTCCCCCAGAGTCCATACCCCCCGTGGCACCATTAACTGCCGGGTCAGTCCCCATTCCCCGTGGGTTTTCCCCAAAACCCACATAACCTTCCCACCCTCTAGAACCCCTTAAAAGTCTATTTAAAAATGTCCTTAAAAAACCCCTCAAACCCCTTTTTGCGACATGCCACCTCTCGGGGTCCCAAGACCCGTCATTAAAGTGGGCCCTCGATAACATAGAGGGCCAAGCCTGTGAGACGGGGGAGTCTCACAGCGCAAGAAGCTTAGCCCTGGAGTACATTCGAACACTGGAATGGTAATACAGGTGTGGCCTAGACATGGCCTACGGGTCTATAATGATGGTCTCAAACGTCCAGGAAGCAAGACTAAATTAACCGGAAGAATCACAACTACCCTCTCACGGTAATGGGCAGGAGTCCTCATGTTCTGTCCAACTGAGGGAGATATTCAAACCACCCTCTCACGGTGGTTAGCCATCTTAATCAAGGCAAGTTGGAAAAGTCCAGAACCACCCTCTCACAGTGGTTTGGCCCTACTGGTCCTGGAAAGATGAGCATCCCATCAGCGGCGAACGTAGTATGGAACCGGCTCCATCAATCCTCCCGTAACTGTCTTGTCTTCCATACAGCCAGGAAACAGGACGAAAAACAGAGCCAGGTCCCAAGCTCCAGGGTAAGAAAGTCCACATTGACCGATGGCCGATAACAGGGCCAGAAAAAAAAAAGGGGGGGCATTCATAGCGACCCAATGCCTGAGCCGTCCACCGGCCTCTCCAACCTCAATTTGGTCTAGTCTGTAAATTTGATGAGTTCCCCTTCTATCCTCTTGTCTAAATCATTCATGAAGATGAACAGATCTTGCGAATCCTTTTCTGTTCTGTTCTTTTTTCCGTGTTCAGGAGAGTCTCGTGTCCTTCGAGGAGGTGGCTGTGTCTTTCTCTGAGGAGGAATGGTCTCAGCTGGATCCTGACCAGAAAGCGCTGCATTCGGAAGTCATGCTTGAAAACCATAGGAACGTGGCCTCTCTGGGTAAGAGTTCTCTAGTCCCCAATCAGAGAGTTCAAGAAGACAAATTATAGTTAATTTTTTTATTAAAAAACCACTAATCAGATATCGTCTCCTGGGAGGGAGAAGGAAAGGATCTTCTCGTGCTCCAAGGAAGGAAAGAGTCAATGTCTCTTTGCTTAGATGCTTTCTCTGCCATTTCTTATCTCTATTTTTCCATTTCCATTTATTTATTTATCAAATATCAAATATTTGAACTTATCTGTGGGGGTATTGCAGAAAATCAAAGGACTCATACTTCGAGATCAAGAGAAGCTTTATTTGGCCAAATATTGCATTCAGTTTTGGTCGCCACGATGTAAAAAAGATGTCGAGACTTTAGAAAAAGTGCAGAGAAGAGCAATGAAGAGGATTAGGGGACTGGAGGCTAAAACAAAGAACAGTTGCAGGAACTGGGTATGTCTAATTTAATGGAAAGAAGGACTGGGGTGACATGATAGCAGTGTTCCAATATCTCAGGGGCTGCCCCAAAGAAGAGGAAGTCAAGCTATTCTCCAAAGCACCTGAGGGTTGGACAAGAAGCAATGGGTGGAAGCTAAGGAGCCTTGGTGGTGCAGCAGACTAAAGTGCTGTTAAAGTAGCACTTAGCTGCCAGCTGCCTGCAATTACTGCGAGTTCAATTCTCACCAGGCTCAAGGTTGACTCATCCTCCATCCTTCCGAGGTAGGTAAAACGAGGACCCGGATTGTGGGGGCAATAAGCTGACTTTGTATAAATAAGAACACCACTTGGAGGGGGGGGGCGAAAGCCCTACTAAGCAGGTATATACAAAAGGATGAAGGCTATTGCTTAAAAAGCATTGTAAGCCGCCCTGAGTCTCTGGAGAAGGGCGGCATATAAATCAAACCAATAAATAAATATTTAAATAAATAATCAAGGAGAGAAGCAATTTAGAACTAAGGAGAAATTTCCTGACAGTGAGAACAATTAATCAGTGGAACAACCTGCCTCCAGAAGTTGTGAATGCTCCAACACTGGAAGTTTTTAAGAAGATGTTGGATAACCATTTGTCTGAAGTGGTGTAGAGTTTCCTGCCTAAGCAGAGGTTTGGGCTGGAAGACCTCCAAGGTCCCTTCCACCTCTGTTATTCCATTCTATTCCTTAACTCTAAACTGAGTGAGGTTTGCATATATAGAGATAATTGTAAAGAAAGAGATGTTTTCTAGACATCTTCAAAGCTTTCATGATTTATGAATATAGAAATCATCATGTCTATATCACACCCCTGTAAGCGTGCAAACATACAACCTAATGGAATTTCGGAGAAATTCAGAAGGAAATTCACTTGACTTTCTACGCTTTGATCTTTTTCTCTAACCTTGTTATTATTTTCATTTCCCTTTTGCTTTGAAGGTAATAATGGGCAGGAGAATCAAGAGTCCTGTGAACTGTTCCAAGTGATCAATGCTAAAGATGGAACGGAGAAGTTTGGAATTCGAATGGAATTCGGAAGCCATGAGAAAAATCAGTCAAAGAATTGGAATCAGGAAAGCTCATCTTCCACTGATGCTCCGATGCAAGACTTTCTTGCCCAACAAGAGAAAATAAGGAAAAAATATGTTGGGAAAAGTGTGAAGCTAATCAAAGCTAAAGTACAAGTAAATGAACACGATTTAACCCAAAACAAAGGAGAAGATGCTATAAGAAGACACAACGGACAAAATTACAATGGGACATTCATTCTTTCTCTTGGAAATAACTTCCTTACTTCTCCAAAAGCGATTGACACAAAAGAGAAGCCTTATAAATGTTTGGAATGTGGAAAATGTTTTAGGACAAGCTGGCAATTTACTATCCATAAAAGGATCCACACAGGGGAGAAGCCGTATAAATACACGGAGTGTGGAAAGACCTTTGCTCGAAGAAGTCATTTTATTTCCCATAAGATGATCCACACAGGGGAGAAGCCGTATAAATGCGAGGAGTGTGGAAAGAGTTTTGCTCAGAGAAATGGACTTACAAGACACAAAAAGGTACACACAGGAGAGAAACCATTTAAATGCATGGAATGTGGAAAGACCTTTGCTCAAAAACATAATCTTATTTCCCATAAGATGATCCACACAGGGGAGAAGCCATATAAATGCATGGAGTGTGGAAAGAGTTTTGCTCGGAGATCTGGACTTACAAGACACAAAATGCTCCACTCAGGGGAGAAGCCGTATAAATGCACGGAATGTAGAAAGACCTTTGCTTATAGAAGTAGTCTTATTTCCCATAAAAGTATCCACACAGGGGAGAAGCCATATAAATGCACGGAATGTAGAAAGACCTTTACTTATAGAAGTAATCTTATTTCCCATAAAAGGTTCCACACAGGGGAGAAGCCATACAAATGCACGGAATGTGGAAAGACCTTTGCTCAAAGTGGTCATCTTATTTCCCATAAGAGGATCCACACAGGGGAGAAGCCGTATAAATGCATGGAGTGTGGGAAGAGTTTTGTTCTGAAAAATGGACTTAGAAACCACAAAAAGCTCCACTCAGGAGAGAAACCATTTAAATGCATGGAATGTGGAAAGACCTTTGCTCGAAGAGGTAATCTTATTTCCCATAAAAGAATCCACACAGGGGAGAAACCGTATAAATGTACGGAGTGTGGAAAGACATTTACTCATGGCAGTGGATTTAGAAGGCACAAAAAGCTCCAGTCAGGAGAGAAACCATTTAAATGCATGGAATGTTGAAAGACCTTTGCTCATAGAAGTAGTATTATTTCCCATAAGAGGTTCCACACTGGGGAGAAGCCGTATAAATGCATGGAGTGTGGAAAGAGTTTTGCTCACAATAGTCATCTTACTTCTCATAAAAGGATCCATGCTGGGGAGAAACTATATAGCAATAGCGATTCCACTTAGATTTATATGCTACTCCACAATGCTTTACCACTTTATCTCTGAGCAATTTACAAAGTCAGCATATTGTCCCCAGCAATCTGGGTCCTCATTTTAGCGTTCTTAGAAGTATGAAAGGCTGAATCAACTATTAAAAGTAATCTATACGAGTTCAAACTGTTTTCAATAAAATGCCAATTTGAAACTGTTCAATTTCCACTTATTTAAAATGCTCCATTCATTTTCTTGCTGAAATATTTCTTCTCATCCAGAATTTGCATTTCTTGCTCACTCACGATTTTCACTTTGCAAAGCCGCTGCCTTTTTTTTAGCTATTCCACAAAGATCTTTAATGTTCCCAGGTGCAAATGGGCTTATGATGAAAAAAACAAGAACCCACACCTGAAATGTTGTTCTTTGTCTGGGTGGCAACCAGATTAGAGCTCTGCTTCAAATTACAAATAACAAATTGAATGTTCTTCAGCATTATAGAATTAACAGTTATTAAAAACAATCCCTCAACAGTGAGAAACACTTAGCAAAGTACTCTGAGCTGGAGTGAACCTTTAAAGGACCTTCTCGGGGGGCTCACCAGGGGTGGGGACTAAAAATTTTTACTACCAGTTCTGTGGGTGTCGCTTATTTTGTGGGCGTGGCTTGGTGGGAGGTTAATGTAACTGGATGGGCGTGGCCATTTAAAAAAAACTTTTAAACCTTAAGAGGTTGCAGAAAAAATGCTTTTAAAAGCCTCTGACGATCCCAGCTGAGCATTTTTTGGCCGAAGAGGTTGTAGAAAAAATGCTTTTAAAAGTAAAAAAAAAAAAGCCTCTGATGAGGTGGGCGTGGTAAGCGAGCAGTAACCGGGCCGGGGACTGGTTCGGGGGCGTGGCCAGCCAATGTTATTACCGGTTCTCCGAACTACCACAAATTTTTACTACCGGTTATTGCGAACCGGTGCGAACCAGGAGCAACCCACCACTGGGGCTCACCCAGATCCTCCCATTAATCCAACTAAGAATTGTGCCAGTTAGAGGATTTGGTGAAGGAGGAGATGAAGAGTAATCCAGTCAAAGGATGTGTGGTGATCCCTGGATCTTACTGATTCAGCCTCAATCTGCCCCCACCTTCCCTTTCCCCAAGGTTCCCCCCCCCAATCCCTTCCACACTTCTTGCCGCCAGTGGTGGGTTGGCCCCGATTTGCACCAGTTCTATAGACCCGGTAGTAAAACCGACGGGAGGCTCCGCCCACTGACCCCGACTTCACCAAAATGCTTCTGCGCCTGTGCAAAAGAGCGCGCGAGCGAAGCGAGTGCACGCAGCCCCGTTGCAAACCGGTAGTAAAGGTAAGTAGAACCCACCCCTGCCTGCCACCCCATCCCGGCCAAGTTGCCATCTGGGACTCGGACCCCTCCCCACCTGGAAGGAGGCTGGCCAGCTGAAGGCAGAGCCTGGTCTGGGGGGTCTCCCTTTGCATTCCCCCAAATCCGCCCCTCAGCAAGGATCTTGGCATGGCTCTGCCAAAGCCTTGGTGCATCCTGGAATCAGGGTTGTCAGGGCTCTGGACATGGTCAGTCAGATGTCCCATGTGGCATCTGAAGTAACCAACTTGGTGTTCCGTTCTGGGTCCTCCTGTGCCTCTCCTGTGCCTCCTTCTCTTCCTTCCCTCCAGCCAAACCCACCGTCACCATCTCCTCCACCACAATGGACCCCGCTTCCCCCAACACCATCCTCCTTGTGCACCACGATGGGCTTTTACCCGTTGAGGTCCAGTGGCTGAAGAACAGGTGGCCGCACAAGGAAATTTTTGAGATTTGGGGCAGCTTTTCCTTACAGAGACCTGAAAAAGTATTGCAATGAAAAAGAAAAGCACACACAAACACTAAAATCTTGCCCAGATTTTTCCACGTTTTGGGAAATTGCAAATGGGAAGGGAAGGAGGGGGACATTCCTTCCCATTCCTCCCTCGGGAAGGGAGCACCCCAACTTTGTGGCCAGTTCTTCTTGACCCCCCTTTTCCTTGTGACATTTGACTCAATTTCCAGCCCAGCGACCCCCAGGCTCCCTCCTTTGCTGCCACCCCCATCCTAGCCCCATCTTCTCTGTTCGTATGAAACTTCTGCAGAGTGGGAGCAGGGGAAGTGGGCCCTCCCTTCTTGATTAATCTTCTAATTAAGTCATTGAGGGAGAATTCCAGAATCCCCTGCAGATGAAATGGGGAGGAATCCCTGGTCCTTCCCAGCCTTTTCCTCCGTGAAATGAGCCTATTCTCCCTCTATCTGTCTCTGCCTATCAACCACCCCCTGCAGTGTGGGCCTGCCTTGGGGGAGGGGGTTGAAAGGGAATAAAAATATGTTATTCTCCCTGGAGCTGCTTCGAGAGAATCCAGGATAGGATGGGTGTTGCTCTGTTCTGCCTGGAGACTGAGCACGTGATCATAATTTGCACATGTAGTCCCTCCTTCCTCGCCTGGTGCTTCCCCAGTTCGGCTCAGTCTTCAGCGCAGAGAGATGTGTTTGAATGAGCGGCTTCACCTTTCATTCTGTGATCATCTAAGCGTGAGCTTTCGAAGGGATTTATTATTGTAATTGTGAGGATCGCTTTTGCGATCAGGCTGCTAGCTGGTCCGCTGGCTAGCGGCCTTGTGCCGACTTTTCTACAGCCGAGGTCCCCACCAGGTTCTGAAGGCCCTGGCTGAATCCCTGCCTCTGGCATCACATCTTCTCCAGCCTCCTCATTGTTTGACTCGAGTGCCAGCTGCACAGGGTGAACTGCACCACACCAGCCTCCTCGTTGTCAGAATCAGGAGATAAAATCAAAACCCTCGACTGGAAGGTGCAACTGAAGAGGTTTAATGTGGAGGAAATACGCAGCTGCTGTCCAATGGAAGAGGGAGATACGGACACAAACGGTTACTTTTATATCCATATAGCCTCCCACCGACCAGTCCGCTCCCACAGAGAGGGTCTCCTCAGGGTGCCATCGGCCAAGTTATGTCGGCTGGCGACACCCAGGGGGAGGGCCTTCTCTGTGGGAGCCCCAGCCCTGTGGAATGAACTGCCCCCGGAAATACGTAAGATCTCCGACCTCCGGGTGTTTCGCTGCGCTCTGAAGACCCTGTTGTTCCGCCAGGCCGGGCTATTAACATAACGATTTTAAACTGGGGTATTTTAAATTTCTGGGATTTTAATTGGAGCCTAATTATTTAATGATTTTAAATTTTAATTGTTTTTTGTTCTGTGTTTTTAAATAGGCTGTACACCGCCCTGAGTCCTTCGGGAGAAGGGCGGTATAGAAATAAAATTATTATTATTATTATTATATAAATGAATTTAAGATTCGCAGCAGAGAAGACAGTCAGGAACATCCTGAGGTAAATCTCAAATGGCACCCAGAAGGAAAAGGCGGGATAAAGGGAAACGCCCCCTTTCCACCCACAGCAACCAATCAGAGCGCAGATCCCCTCAGCCACAACAGGGTCTTTGAGACCATTGTGCATTTAACCTTCTTCAGCCATTAAATTGAATATCTTCACATTTAAAGTGTTCAAAGGAAACAGACCTAAAATGACTTTGCTTTTGTCCATTAGACGGAATTGTCAGGTTGGAATAATTGTTTTTTTTCCTTGCACTGTGCTAAAAAGAAGTCAATGTCTTTCTTTCCTTTTTTTCT